TCCGTGTTTGTAACGGATGTTTTCCAATCCGTGTATTGTGTTGCACCAAAAAAGCAACAAGATACCTAGTGCACCTCCCACCATGGCCAAGTGCTCCTCCCACCAAGCAAATGTTCATTCCACCATTTAAGTGCTTCCTCCATGATATCCTAATGCTTGTTCCACCATGGAGGGGGCGGATTTCTCTCACATGACTGCTATAAATAGAGCAGAAGTTGTAGAGAAAGAAGAACATACCGGAAAAAAAACACTCGAAACCTCAGTATACAATTGATATGTACTCTGTATATAATTGATATACATGCTGTATACACTTAAACTACACTCTGTATACACTGTGTATACACTGGAAAAACGAATTGCAATCTGATATCCTCTTCAGTAAGAATTCAACATCGGCTATACATTGCATTCCTTCCTCTCAGAATTTCCATTCGACTTCTGAGTTCTCCTCCCTTGTTCTGCATTGTTTTAAAACTACAAACAAAGCAACTGTAAGTGTGATTTGCTGCCGAACTTTGCGTTCGCTGAAATACTGGGGTTTGAAGTACCGCTACACCAGTGTGTAATTCGTTCTATCCTGGGAGGAAATAATCCATAACCTTGGGTACTAGGAGGGGATTAAATTCCTTAAGGAAACACTGTGAATTCAGTGGGCTCGAATTAATTTTTGTTTCAATTATATCATTTATATTTACGTATGTTACTGCTGTAGATAGCTGATAAAGAGGATAGTATATATCTAAGAGTGAAAAAGTTAAAACTTGATCTTCCATCATTCCATATTTATACCAGATAAGAAGTACTATACAAGAAACAACAACAACAGTTTAACTTTAAATTTTTTATTTATCCATAATAACATGATTTTATAATTGCATAAATATTTGTGGTATGTTTTCGGCTACAAATGTCAAAAGTCTTACTTTTGAAACTCCGTGTTAGGAGTATAAACTTTGGTAACCACATTGCATGGCGGAAACCATGTAAATTTGCTAACTTTATTACAATTAATCACCAAGCTTCCCCTCATTTTTTTATTATGCAAAAGCAAGATCAGATTAGAGGTCTGTCTGATCTTATTACTTGCAGATAAACCAAATATTCATGTGGCCCACTTTTAGCTCATTTGGTGATTTTTCACTTTAAATTTTTATAACATGGCATAGGTTGCTACAGGGTAGGAATTATATACTATTTCGAAATTATTTTTTGGAAGTTACACGTTAAGTTCATGCTCTTGAATTATTTTGCCTATTCTGCAGCAAGAGGGTTTTTGGACTTACCTTCCTATTTGTTAAAAATAAAAGAAATTTTAGTGCCATCAAAATCTTCAATAGTATATCCATGAAACTAGAACCTAGCATGGAACAATCAGCTTTTGGAAGTTCAAGAAAGCCAGATGAAGCAGAGTTCAATTTGAGAGAATGGGCTCTTAAGGCTAAACTTAGCAGAGAAAAAACTAATTCAAGAAGGTACTCAGCATCTTATATTGGAAGTTTCAGAGAAAATGCAAAATCTTTTAGATCAAATGTAATAATTTCAAGCACTGCTTCTTCTCCTGGCTACACCTTAAGAGGTACCATTTTCTTCTCACTTTCCATAATTTCGCATCAGAAATCGCCAACATGAACTCAAACGAAATCTTGAATTGCGTATAAAAACATGGTTTGTACTTTGTAATATTGTGTCTTATAAATCTTTAATTTTTTTTCCAGAGGAAATTGATCCATCAAAATATTCTTTTACCACTGCCCTGAAAGGTGAGTCATTTGTAACAATAAAGATGATTATGATGAATGGTAATTTTCAACTTTACCTAATTTTGTGTTTGTTTTTGAGTGTAGCATTGCAGGCAAAAACATTATATAGTTGGGAATACATGTCACCAGATGGTTTGGCTCTGAATTCAAAATGGAATGAAGCTGAGAAATACATATGCAATCCATTGTCAGGGGAAGTTCCTTTGGAGTGTTTATCTACAAAAACACTTACTGAGAGATCATTTCGCCAGTCAAATAGCAGAATTACTGTCTCAGGACCTCTAATTTATCCTTCTCATATTCAGAGTACAGGACAATTTCAAACAAAATACCCTGCAAAGCCTTCTTTCCCTACACATGATGTTGAAAACCAAATCCCAAGCAAAGGTACAAACACTTGTTTTTCATTTTGTTTCTTCGTTAATGTTTGTTGAAATGAGTGACTACCTCATCTAATATCGTAAGCTGTTATAGAGGGCATATTTTTATTTTATTAATTATATCTTCAACCTTCCTCATGTGCCGACCTAATTCTTCTTCATTAGCCAAATACGTAAAAATTCTTGTTTTATATATAATAGGTAGTGGCGAAGCCAGTAAATTCAATAAATTTGAACACCCTTTGCCAATGGGCTATGCAAGGGTATTCAAAGTCTATTTTTAATCAATAACAAGTAATATTTTACCTTATACGTAGTATAATTTTTCGACGAAGGGTGGTCAATTTACCACCCTTGGGCCAACATAGCTTCGCCCCTGATAATAGGTGTTGATGAGACAAGAACTCAAGGTCTCCGCGTGATACCGCACTGAGTGTGTGATTACCTAATCTAAAGACTTAAATTGTTAGGAAGAGACGAAGAGTACACTTTTTTTTACTTAATTATATGTTAAACACTAGTATTAACTAAGTATCATTAATCCTACTCACAATGTTTTTCTCCTTTTCGCACTTTTAATTTTAGAGAAGAAAGATGTTAGCATAACAAGAGATATGGGAACACAAAGCATTGCAGCTTATAATTATGTCAGTTCTAATAGTCCAAGTCCAGTTCCAACTCCATCAATTGAAGAAATGTCTATAAAGCTAAGTGAAGCAGCTGATTCTTCACCTATGAGTATGACTACTCCATCCATTAAAGAAGGATCCATAAAGCTGAGTGAAGCAGATGATCACTCCCCTATGACTATTCCACAACTAAAATCTGAGGAAGAGGTAATTATTGTAGTACCTTCTGAATCCTGTCTTACGAAATCTTTGCATGGTTTACTACACTCTTCATGCAAAATAATTTAAGAATTATATTATGCACAACTTGATCATTTCGTAAAAATCCTTTTCTTTTGGTTCTTGTCTATTGTTGGATTTTGTATTTGTTACGACTGATATTTAATTTACTAGAGTAATAAGTAGTTTAGTCGTAGGAGGAGCTTTGTTTATATTTAAATTTAATTGGATAAATTAGTTGAAATATTTTATGTTTTTGAATTTGAATATTTATTTTGCAGATTCTGTTGAAGTTGGCTATTTAAAACCTTCTTAGTTAAAATTTATGAGAGACATTTTCAATTAATATTTTAAAACTTTTTTGCTGCCCCATCATTTTAAAAAACCCAACATCTATGGACTTATATCTCAATTTTTTTAATTTCACTCTTTTTTCTAGTCTTTGTCTTTTTCTTTTTCCCGTTAGGATATATATAACTTTTATTAAGACTTACAATTGATCATAGTTTAATTAATTACTAGTATATTATATTGAATTTATTAAAATCTGAATTTAATTAATCAACTAGCCTTGAATTGTAGGAACTCATGAAAGATATGGAATTATATTGTTTGTAGAATTATGTCAGATATTTTGGAATGTCTTAAAACGAATGAAGTATCACAGACAAAGGAAACAGTACTATCTCAATAATTCTCAACTTTGGACCATGGCCTACAACAAGAATCATATGTAGTGGATGATGGGGGACAACAGTAACTGAAAGACTAGATTATCAAAATTGTCCGAATATCATCATATTGATAGATTATTGCCCTATATATTATATTGGTGGGGGACTACATATATTTAATTGGTCCCTTGGAACATCTATCAGCATATATAATTCACCCAAGCACATGCAAATCACTTGCTTTTGTGGCCCAAATGTTTGTGCTTCTTCTGTGGACAAGTGAGATTTTAGCTTTTTTCTCTTTTTTGTTCATATTTTCTTTAGCTTTATTTTACTAAGAATGGTTAACAGGTTTCCAATACTAAGGGGAATAGATATTCCCTTATACTCATGTCTTAATGAATATAATAATATCTGTCATGTTGTTACGTACTCCCTCAATAATTCATGCAAGATAAGTTTCTTTCAAACACCAATGCACAACCCCACTAACACAAACCACATGATCTAATAAATAGTTTTTTTCCCACCTTTTATCTTCTCTAGATCTAGCTACCAGAGACGAATCTAGTATTTAAGTTTTATGGGTTCAACCTTTGAATTTTTTAGTATTGAATATATTGTATTTTTAAAGTTATGAGTTCATATTGCTATATATTACAATATTAATGAATTTTTGCACATACTTTTATGCTCCACGCCAAAAATATTGTGTTCAGTTGAACCCAGTGGATACATTGCATCCACCTCTGCCGCTACTCTACTCGGCTAGATAGATAAGGGTCTCGAAAATAAAATTATGCTGGAATTATATTGCGTAGATTGTAGTACTAAAATTTGATCCTAGATTGCTTATATTACTTATGATTTATTTGGTTCTTTGCATTTAAATGTGATACACATGAGTTTATAATCAAAGATGTATTCGACTTTAAACATGATAAACTCTTATTTGTAGTTTTAACCTTGATCTTCTTTAGGGGTGTTCATGGTTCGATTTGGATCGGTTTTTTCCTAAAAAGAAACCAAACCAATTAAGTCGGTTTTTTTCGATTCGGTTTATGTCGATTTTTCGGTTATTTGTCAATTTTTTCTTAAATATAAGACATACACTACCAAACACATATTCCGACGACCACATTTTCAATGTAACACTATCAAATCAATTGCCCTTTGAGAAATCTATTATTTACCAAAATATATTGATGATAATTGAATCAAATAGTGATGAATAATTTAAGGACTCAATTAAAAATATGTTATTTTTAGCACGAAATGAATTCTTACACTAAACAAAAGAAAACTACCAATCAAACTAGAATGTAAAGGTAAAGAACTATATCAAAAGTGCAAACTATTAATATTTACCATAATTTTTTTGAAACTTTGTATAACAATATATATATATATATATATATAGGTGTAATAATAAATTTGGAATAGCTACTCCAATAGTCGGTTTGGTTCGGTTTTTTTTTCTGATTAAAACCAAAACCAAACCAAATTTGATTGGTTTTTAAAATTCAAAACCAAAACCAAACCAAACCAAAAAATATTGAGTTTTTGTTGCTCGGTTTGGTTCGGTTTTCGGGTTTTTATGAACACCCCTAATCTTCTTAATGGAAGGTTTTAGTAGAAGAATAATTTGTTAATTTACTTGTTTTGTTTTGGTGTAGCTAATTATTGGATTATCTCATATCGGAGGTCGTATAAAATTACGCTGAAACTCCGATATAAAATTATATCAAGTAATACTTATATTGAAAATAAAAATGCAAAAATTATGAACTATATAGCTGGTAATGAACTAAACGAGCCCAAGGGCGAGAAAACTTGGGTATTGCTAAACTATAGCTAACGTATTAGTTGAGTTATGTTTGTTGATAAAATTGAAAGAATATTAAGCCTTGTTGACAAAACATTGATTAACTGTGCACTGTTTTCAGGATTCAAACACCTATGACAATATATTGTTTTCTGTGTACAGTAAATAGTAGTGTAGCCACACTATACCAAGGTGGTCAATTAACCACCTTTAGTCAAAATATTACATATAGAGTATATAAGTCAAACACTATTTTATATGACTATATATTATATTTTGAACACATTTAATCTAATTGAGTAAGGCAGTCCAGCAGTCTAAAATGCTTACAGTGATATATTGTTTATGAGTTCAAAGTTATTTGCCCATTTTATTTCTCAGAATTAAACAGAGACCACCGCGTATATGGTTTATTTGACTCTTTTTTAATTTAATTATTTTTAAATAAAATAACTCTTAGAACTTAAACTTTATATAAAGACAAATAACTAAACTTAAAAATATTTTTTAATTAAAAGTTATTTCTTAAATAAATTATAGTACTCCATAATTTAAAAGTTAAGCTCTATACAAATTTCTTCGACAAAAGTTCTTTACAGAGTACAGATTACAAATTCTCTCGACTCTCTCGTTCCTTTAATTGTGCTTCTATTGTTATTTTTTTAATGTTAATTTTGATTTATAAAATTATGGTTCAATTACAAGTATTTTATTGTTTAACTAAATACTGCTTAGATTAATTTGTTTTAAGTTTGAATTCTTAACTATGCCACTGACCGTAGATGTATGTCCAGGTGGAAGGGAAAGAAACAGCTGGATCAAGGGAACAAGACACGAAAAGCAACGAGGAGCAGTTGTTGCAGGGACAGAGAAAGAAAGTGAAGCAGATGGACAGCAGGCAATTTGGTGGGTGCTTGTCATGGATGAGTTTGTGGATGAGAAGAAAAAGAAGGCTGAGAGAGAAGCATAAATCAAGAAGCAACAATATTTTTCTTTGCCATATTAATGCATGCTATAAAGAATAAACTGTCCTTTTCTTGGGGATAGAAAGATTCTCTTTCCATCATTTCTCTCTCGTTTCTTAGATTCTACTAGTGTACCTACCAAGGATTTTATTCATATATATTGATTGATAGTATACAAATTCTATGTATTAAATATATATTTTAAAGAGATTACTCATCTCACTTATTATAAACGATTATCTAATTAGAAATATATTACTAGCTATGCTGTTAATATAGAGAAGTTAAATTCTGTACGAAAAATGAGTAGATAATATTGATCAAGAACAAGAGAAAATAACTTATAGTAAATACTGAGTCCTGGCAAGTCACTATCTTGAAAGCGATTTCGGCCTGACTGAGTGCAAATCCTTAAGACTGCTCGCTCCTCAAAATTTCACAGCACCTCCAAACACGTGCACTTGTAACTGAAAGTTTGGAATTTACAAAAAACAATTGCCCAGAAAAAAGAGAAGATGAAAGTGTTTTCTGTGTTAGATAATTTACAAAGAAGACTGCTTTTTATAGGCAAAGTTGTTGGACAGTTACAGATGAAGGAATTAATCTGTAGCTGTTACAAAAATAAAAATGGAATTGTTATAAAAATTAACCACAATTGTTACAAAATTTAAACACAGCTGTTACAGAAATTAAAGCACGGCAGTTACAAAGAAATAAATGGAACGTTACGAAATTTGATTCAAAGAGAATGAATTTCTCATGTGCGCGAGGAAGAAGGGATCACAAAGAAATCTTTGACTTTGCATTACCAAATATAAATAATACCAACAATCCCCAACTAACGCAAAAACAAAATTAGAATAAGAACAATTCTGGGCAAAAGAAGGAACATGTACTTACGTGTCAATATCTTTCGATTTGAATTGACACGTAGTGAAATGAGGCAACAACTAACATCCACAAAGTGAAGTACTCTTGAACTGAATGAACATTAGGTGAGACCCCTACAACACATATTATATCCTTAATTTTATGCAAATTTTGCGATATTAACAAAGTGCTTTTATGGTCATGCATATACCTTGGGTCTCATGAGGGCTCTAGAAAGACATCCCAAGTCTTTCATAAAAGGCGACCGCACCTTTACACTCACGTAGGTGATTTCATCAAGTCTATCTACACATAAACCACCTTAAAGCTAGGAATCAGTAAGAGCAAAATAAGCTCAACCGTATAAAGCACTACCACACGCCATAGGGATAGAAAATGTAGTGCATATTGAGGTTTCATATGGCTTCTTTTGACCACAAATGAGTATCCACCATACTTTCTCAATCCATGGGTTTTAGTGCCATCCCCCTCGACATTTCAAGGATAACTCTCCTTGCCAAACCCTTGGTTAAAGAATCTGCCAAATTTTGTTTGGATCTTACATATTCCAAGGAAAGAACACCATGTTTCAATAATTATTTTATCACACCATGTCTAATGCAGATATGTCTTCTTTTTTCATTATACACACTATTTTTGGCAATTGCAATTGCCGCATGTGAGTCACAATGCAGTGAAGCTGGTGAAACTTGTCTTTCCCATAAAGGCACATCTGCCAATAAGTTTCTCAACTACTCAGCTTCTTGCCCTGCCAACTCAAGAGCAATGAATTCAGACTCCATAGTAGATCGTGCTATACAAGTCTGTTTTGAAGACTTCCATGAAATAGCACATGCACCCAAAGTAAACACATAACCACCAATGGAGCTAACTTCATTATTGTCAATATCCCAGTTTGCATCGAAAAATCCTTCTAAAACAACAAGAAATATATTAAAATGCAAACACCAATTCATAGTATCTTTTAAATATGTAGCAAAAGATGAAGAGCATTCCAATGTTCACTACTGGGATTGTGAATATATCTACTCAATCTACTAATAACATAAGCAATATCAGGACGTGTATAATTCTAAAGCATTAGTACTATATTTGCCACTCCCTGTCAGACCTAAGTCTCTTGATTTTTCTGTCTAATGAATTTTCTACTTCTTCCTTATATTTCAAAAACATGCTTTCAGCTTCATCTTTTAACTTAAGAAGATATACCTTAGTATATCTAGAAAAGTCATCTACAAAAGTGATAAAATATTTCTTTCCATCCTTACTAATAGTTTTCTTGAAATCTGCTAAGTCCCAATGTACTAGTTCAAATAATTCTGTCTTTCTACTAGTTATATCTTAAAAGACTTTTTGGTATGTTTTGCTTCTACACAAATATGACACTTAAAAAAGTTATCAACATTAACTGCAGAAATTAATTCTATTTTTCTAAGTCTTTTAATAGAAGCAATATTAACATGACCTAGTCTACCATGCCACAAATCAATAGACACAACAATATACGCAGAATTGAAAGTACAACATTATTAGTAATCTCTTGAGCGATGTTTAGTACAAATAAACCTCCACTGAGATAACCCTTTCCAAAAAAGTCTTCCCTACGAGAAATAATAACTTTATCAAATTCAAAAATAAGTTTAAGACCTGCTTTGTTGAGAAGCGTACTAGAAACTAAGTTTCTACGAAGGGAGGGTACGTACATGACATTGTTCAAGGCTAAGGTTTTCCCCGAAGTTAACTTAAGGAGA